TATACTCCGAACTGCTTCGCAGTTCGGTGATATTCTAACCCCCCATATATGATCTGCCAAATTTATCCTAAAATACGTTAATCCAACTTTTTATTTTAAAAAAACTGTTAAAATTCTAATAACATTAACGTTAATAAAAAAATACGCAAATCTAAATCTAACTTCATAAATTTCTCTTTGATACGCAATAGTGGATCCTACTTCCTATTCATACATATATTTCGTATATATATTTTTTGGAATCTTATTTCTCCTTCTTAAGACTTTGAGATTTTTTTAAAAATATCTTAAAGCCTGAAATGTCAAATATAGAACTGAAAGAAATGACAAATATTATCGTCATACAGTGCAGCTATATTTCCTTGTGACAATACCATGAAACATGCTTTCAACAGAAAATATATACTAACATTAAACTCTTCGTTTATATTTAATAATAATAACTAACAAACAACGTAAAATATGGTATTGCCTTAATATCGCTTTGCAAGTTTATATAAGATTTAAAATGTCAGTTTTATATTACATTAAATTTTCATAAAGTAAGTTTACACATCATATTTTCAGTGCATTTTTATACGTTTTAAATAAAAATTATTTTTGAATGATTTTGATACGATTCTATTTTAACAAATTTCTGGACGTTAATTTTCATCCAAATGCTAATGAAAATATAGCATAAAACATTTGATATAATTTTTATTTTAAGTTAAATTTCATATGAATTTTGGTAACTTAATTGAAGTTTTTAATTGTTAAAACAATTCTATCAATTTGTTTGAAAAGTCTTTTTCGTTTATTAATAAATTTCTCATAAAATAGAAAGTTTCACATACAAATAACTTTTTGGTCATCCAAAAAATATAATCCTGCGATAGCCAATTATAGAATAATCAAAATATAATCCTGTATGGAAAATTGCGCGATAAATATTATACACCCTAACACATTTTTTGTCACCACTTAATTTGTTCAACCGGACTTATCTTTCCTCAAAAATGCTGGGTTTAATAGAGTCCATTCTCTTTGGGGCGGAAAATTTGTGTTACAGATAAAACAAAATCAAGCATGCAATAAAAATTAACAACTTTCAACCGGTAAGATAATATTTTTTTTAGAAAGACGAACTTTGACATTCTGAATTTCATTTTATCTTTGTTCTTTTATCCATTTTTATTCATTGATTTTCCTCAATTATCACAAATTTGGCAATTGATCCTTTCAAATAAAATTAAAATCTAGAAAAAATTGATATGAAAATTTTCCTTATATAAAGTTATTATTTTTGTTCTTATAAAAATCAACAATCTATTATCCATTTTTTCAAAATAACATGTCTACTCACACTGACTGTAACTGAATCAGAACTTGTAAAGTTTAGTAAAAACCTACATAATACTGCAAATAACCTTAAAATTGCTTGTATGGTCCTTCGTAGTTGCTATGTTACAAATGCTTCATCCGTTCAGAAATTCATTGTTCTGCATCGTAAAATTACCAATTACATCACAGTCTACAATAGGGTGATTTTACCATCTGCGAGCGTAGTTGTTCAAAATATTCAAGATTTTATTGACACCTATATTGCATTAAGCTATGATGATTTCAAGGAATGTATCGAGAATTTAGCTAATAGTGCTCATAAGAACCAAGAAATGGCTTCCTATACCAAGTTACTTCACCAGGAAATTCTTGCCAATTTTAAAAATAAAGAAAACAATGTAAATATTGTTTTGAAAAAACTTGAAAAAGATACAGAGTGATATAAAGTACAGGCAAAGCAATTAAGAAAATCAAGTAATATTAAAACAAGCTAGGTGATTGGTTTGTCACTTATTCCTGACGTAAACTTCATTGTGAGTCCTATTTTGTGGTATAGTGGTAAGGAAGACCTTGTTAAAGCAATTGCAAGTGAAGAGGAATCAAAGTTAGCTATAGCTGCTACATTCATTATTCGAGATGTCTTTTAAACTTCACTTCTCAACTTTGCTCAAGCTTTAGCTGATATTTCTGGTTTCTTCAACATTCTTCAAAATGAACTAAGTATTCTCGTTCATAATAGCAATGACGGGATTACAAAGTTACACTATTATAAGTGTAGAAATAAAATACCTGTCATCATTGCCACCTGTCACTTTTACATGAAAAGTATCCCTGATTGCCAAACTAACCTTATGACTATTCCCAATGACATTGATAAAAATTATGTACAGCAATGGCTTTTAGAAAAAAAAAACAAGGATAGGAAATATAATCTTTCATTTTTAGAAATGGAAAGAAATTTATTCAATTCAAATGCTCAATTTATAAGATTATTAAAAACATATAAGACTTATCACTTGAATAGTTTTATATCATAAGTTTTTAGCTGTTAATTTAATTTTTCTGCTTTGTTAATTCATATATATTTTTAATAATAAATAAAAGAATATATATTAGTATTATTTAAATCACTATTGTTTTTATGAACATGAATTAATAAGGAATTAATTCATTTATTAAAATCTGTGAAATAAAGAATATATTTATGGTTTTATAATATGTATATCTTATTAAGTATTTTGATAAAAAAAAGTTATATAAATACTAAATTATGCTATAATCCTTGTCATTAATTTCTAAACTTCTCAAAAATAAATACATTATAATAGAACCAGTTTTGGATTCTCCTGATGCCTCTATATTAAAAAAATTAAATAGTAAAAATAAATTTAATAATCATTGAAAACTTAAATTATAAGCTGATTCAATCCGTACTGTAGACTCAGTAAATCGTGCAAAAAAAAGTTCAAATTAATAATGACCTGAAATTCAAAGTGGTTTTTTGAGATTATTGTAAATCATGTAACAATATTTCTTAAAAAAAACTAGCTAGTATTTTTTTAAAGTATTCACCGTAACCTTTTAAATTTTAGAATGACTCAGAATGTATTGGTTACTATATTTCACAATTTTGACAATTTTTTAAAATACATGATCAAAATTATGTTAATTTTAGCGGGATTATAATCACGATTTAGCAATAAAATTAAGCATGAATTTTGAACTATCACGTGTACACCTAGGAATAAATATCAAATAAAAGTATAAAATTTTCAAGAAAAATAAAGAAAAATAAATTTATTTTTAATGTTAAAGAAATTATTTCAGTTATTAAATTAATATAAACATATTTTGAGAAATTAAAAATTTTATTTTCTATATGCAAAAAAAAAAATAAATAATTTAACGAATGATTAATTAATAAATTTTCGAATTTGGAAATGGCAATTAAGCATTTTATATATGCATAATAAATCGATTGAATAAATATATATATCCAATATCGATTAATTTTATGTTTACTTTATTAGCAATGAAAATGCAGCAAGTTTTGTATTTCATTTTCTTTTTTGTTATCTTTTAAATTTAATTAATAATACCTTTAGTAGAGTTAGAAATGATGAACTCACTCATGATTAATTAACATGATTACACTTTTAGATTTTTAGATAATTAAGGGGAAGTAGTCAAAATTTTATAAAATTTTAAATGAAACCATAATCGATCCAACGAGAACAGCAATCTAAAAAAAATATATTATTTTCTTTATAGACTTCCTCCAAAAGACTTGTATAGTGCAGAGCACAATTATATCATTCTTAATAAAATAAAGAAAAAAATAAATTTTAAATTAGGTCAAAACTGAAAATTTTAACCATAATTATTGTATATTAGAGACATTAAACAGTCCAAAACAGTTCTAAAAGTTCCAATAAATTTGCCAGTTCTAGAGAAGAAATGATTTTTATTTTACTAGCGGTATATTTTACTTTCTTAAGATGATATATTTATTAAAAATATAAATTTTTAAAACTTAGAATCCGATCCTAAGAATTGGGTCTCACCTTGGCGGTCCCATGTTAATTGTCAATTCTAATATTCATATTTCTTTTATAAGTTATTCATAAAATTTATTATTACAATTATTTATCAAGAGTTACTTATTATAGATAAGCGATTAAACTTTTCTATAACTTGTAATTTCAATATTTGTTTACAATCATTTGGGACTGTTTAACATTCCTATAATAAATATAAAATTGTATATTTTATAAAATAAATATATTAAAATATTAAAGAATAAGTAGCTATTACCTTTATAGAAGTAATTAAGAATCTTAACCTTAATACTTTTAATTAAAGTTCTGCATGAGTCAGCTCAAGACAACTTAACCATCGGCTTAAGCTAAGCTGATTTATTTTGGCTCGTAAGTTGACTTGAGATAAGTATAAAATGTAATAAGCTGAGTCAGCTTGCGAGTTATATAAGCTGATTTGTAAGGCTTACATTATTAACAAAAATCTGAAAAAAAATTTTGAAATGATTGAAAAGTTCTAGAAAACAATTTCTTTTAAGAGATTGTCTTTAAAATGACTTCTTTTAAGAAAAATGTCTCAAAATAATTCTTTTGAAAAAAATATCTCTAAATGATTCTTTTGAAAAGAAAACGCTTCTGGAATGTTTCTTATGAAGAAAATTACTTTCAAAATGTTTCATTTAAGAAATATATTTTCAGAGTAATTTCTTTTAAGAAATACGCTTTCAGAATTTTTAGAATAATTTTTTTAAAAGTTTTACTTCTGAAATGACTTTTATTAAGAAATTCACTTCAGTAGCGATTTTTTTAAGAGTTTCACTTTTAGAATGAATCTATTAAAAATTTACTTCTAAAGTGAATTCTATTAAGAAATTCACTTTTGAAGCGAATTCTTTTAAAAATTTTACTTTCAGAACAAGTTCTATTAAGAAATTTACTTCTGAAGCATTATTTTAAAAGTAAAACGCTTCTACTATATTATTATGTCTTTGAAAGAATATGTCTCTAGAGTATTTTATTTTTGAAGTAAAATACTTCTACTATAGTATATCATTGAAAGAACACACTTCAGAAATGTTATTTCTAAAGTAAAATACTTCTAGAGTATTACTTTCAAAGAAAATTACTTCACAAAGTGATTTTTTTAAAGAAAAATGCTTTCGTAGTATATCTTTAAAGGATATGGGAAGCAGTCAGTAGAAAAGAGAAAATCCAAAATTTTGTTAATTTTAATTATTAAGCTAATTTTATGTATATGGTCTAAATCAACCAAGTGGTCTAATAATATAAATTTTGACCAAAATTTGGATTTTCCCTTTTTTACTGACCGCCTCCCATATGCTTCTAAATCGTTATCTTTAAAAAAAAATACTTTTGAAATGTTTACTAAATGTGAATTGATTTATAAATAGAACAGAATACAAAATTTATATTTATTTAAATTATATAATAAATCAAATTTAATTTATTGAATAATTAAAAAAATTTAATTAATCTTAAAAATAATAAAATAATATAAAGTATAAAATAAAAATGAATGCATAATAAATTTTTATATAAAAAATAAATTACTTTAAAGTATTATTTTTAAAAATAAATTTTATTCTCTTTTTTTTAAAATATATCTGATTTTAACCATCCTTTAAGATATATGTATTGTGAACGGATAAAATGTGATAAGACTAAGGTTGCTGGACGAAATCAAGAATTTAGACAGACGTCTAAATGATAAAAGTAAAACTTGGTTAAATTATATTAAAACCTTATTAAAAAATCTGCA